GATGGTAACAAATTATGACCACAATCTTGTTTTAGAATAAAGGAATCCTAGGACACAATTAGTCCACTTTAGGTGCTTAATCTGAGATTTTTTTTTATAAGATGATTTAACAACTCCTGAAAAGTGAAAAATAATTTCTTCATCTATAGTTTTTACGCTTACAGATCAGTGCAATACTAAACCTCTTCAGCCTTCTGTCAAAACCACCCCCAGTAGTTTGCAGCCTAAATAAAATGGTGTGAACGCTATTCACACTCAGCCTCAAGAGTAATTCCCAGGCTGTTCCTTCAACAGAACCTGGACCATCTGGGGATTCCACTGGCCCTGGTATGGCTGTGTTTATATCTCCACAACAGCCTTATTCTGCCTTTTCAGACATTGTGTCATCTTAAAGAGCATGGAGATGGGGAGTCTACACTCATACAACACAAGAAGGAAAACACGAAACAATCCATTTTGTACAAAGTATTCAACTACCCAAAAGTGGCCTGTATTGTGTGATCTTGGTTGAACTACATAATTGTTTGGAGCCACAGTGTCTTGTGGGACTTGAAAAAGATGATCTGAGATTTTTAACAATGCTCAGAGCCTCAGCTTTCTGGTTTCATCAAATATTGCAATTATTTATCAGTACAGCCTACTTATTTTGTATGCGCTGAATCCATTTTTAGTCTTTTAAATCATTTTTCTGTAGAAAGTGAGGACTCCTTGGAGAACAGGACAAGTAAGTATAACGGATGTTAATGCATTCCGTTGACCTGCTGCCTTTAGCCCTAGCTCTCTCCACCAGCAAAGCTGGAAGCTGTCTCTGGGGTGGGGGCAGGGGAGGAACTGTCTTCAGAGTCACCCACACCCTGGGAGACAATGAGAAAGCAATCATAAGGAGAAAACCATTTTAGCTTCACTTTCTTCTCTGCCTTGCATTTGGAAGTGGGAAAATGTTTCAGAAGGAAACTTTTGGCCATGGATTTTGCCCAGAAAGACTTTTTGGGGCAAAGGGATATGAGCTCAAAACAAAACAAACAAACAAAAAAAAAAACACAAAGATCTGAATTCTCTATATAGGAACTGTTGCTTGTGCTCATAAACACTGGTTCTTTTTGAATGGCAGTTGGCCTCCCCTGCAGGTGAAGCACCTGCATGGTAGAGTATGCATGCATTGCATTCCAGGCCGAGGCTGTGGGGATGCAGTGCTCAAGGCACAGGCTGTGATTCATGCTGGGATTTGCCAGCAATTTGGCCCACAGGAAAGGAAGCCTTGGGTCAGCATCCTATCAGCTCCCATAAGTAGATCTAATTATGACCACTTACCTCAAAAGAGGATTTAACCCAAAGCAGATTTAGTAAGGCAGTTTCCAAAGGGCAGTAGGAATCCCAGCCATGATCTTTGAGAAAATCTTACAGGCTTCACTGCCCCAAGCACATGGCAAGTCAGCACCATGGCTGCCTCAGATCTCAGAGTTCAGAGACACTAACTGGAATGGCCAAGGTCTTAGTGGGGATGTTTATTTTATTTTATTTTTTTATTTGTTTGTTTTTATTACAAAGTCAGATATACAGAGAGGAGAGACAGAGAGCAAGATCTTCCGTCTGATGATTCACTCCCCAAGTGAGCGCAACGGCCGGTGCTGCACCAATCTGAAGCCGAGGACCTGGAGCCTCTTCCGGGTCTCCCACACAGGTGCAGGGTCCCAAAGTGTTGGGCCATACTTGACTGCTTTCCCGGGCCACAAGCCAGGAGCTGGATGGGAAGTGGAGCTGCCAGGATTAGAACCGGAGCCCATATGGGATCCCGGACAAGCGCATTCAAGGCAAGGACTTTAGCTGCTAGGCCACCATGCCGGCCCTGAGGATGTTTATTTTAGAATGAAGTGTCTGTCAGAGCATCCCCTGGGTGTGTGTGCTGGTACCAAGCTGAGGAAAAACACTGACAGGTAAAAATAAAGATACTGAAGTATAATTCAGTCTGTCAAAAATTATTTTAAATTTTTATCTGATTTCAAAGTTATGGGAGAGTCAAAGATTTCAATGGATTCTTACTAAAACATGAAAGTTTGGTGACTATCCCAGTGAGGTTGATTGGAATACTACTCAGCTATTAAAAAAACAAAATACAGTTCTTTGTGGCTAAATGGGCACAACTGGAAACTATAATGCTAAGGGAAATGAGCGAATCCCAAAAGATTAGATACCACATGTCTGCCTTGATTTAACCTGTAATTTTTTGTTTGGTTGTTTGTTATTTTTTGAACCTGTCATTGATACTGTCTCAACCCAGATGTTTCGAAGAATGGAACTTGCATTATTTTTAACATATTGTTTACCCAATACTATGTCAATTAATTCCATAATGTTGTATATTGATACTGAGGCCTTGTTGGGGCTTTTAACTGACCGGATCTTTACTCTGTTAGACCTATCTTCAGACCATAGAACGTCTCCCCAAGAGGCCACTGAACTTATCTGAACAATAAGACGCTGAACTTTATGCTAGGCATGTGTTTGCAAGCAATGAATCTCAACTGAACTTGAACTATGGTTATGCAACAAGGTGGAGGAATCCACCATGGGGGGAGGGGTATGGGAGGGGTGGGGGGAATCCCCAGCGCCTATAAAACTGTACTACATAATACAATGTAAGCAACAATAAAAAAAAAAAAGTATCAAAAGCTTAAAGATAGTTGAAAATTAAAAAAGTCTTTTTCAGTTTTGATTCAAAAAAAATCTGCATAGGTCCCAGCAAATGGCTCAGGAGCTAAAATCATTGCTTTGCAAATACCAGGATCCCATATGGGCACCAGTTCAGGATGGTCCAAAGCCTTAGGACCCAAGACCATGTGGGAGACCTGAAGGAGGTTCCTGGTTCCTGGTTCCTGGCTTCAGATCAGCTCTGCTCAGGCCATTACAGCCCCCTGGGGAGTAAACCAGTGGATGGAAAATCATTGTCTTTCTCTCTGTAAATCTGATCTGCCTTGTCAATAAAAATAAATAAATCTTGGAGGGGGAATAAAAAAAAATAAATCTTTACAAAAATTTCTATGTAACACTTTACTCAGGAGAGATGTTCATGGTGGCTTTTTCTCTTTTTCTTTGTTTTTGTTTTAATAAAATTTTAAAAATCCAAAATAGAGAGAAGATTGAAATTATATGTCTGTAGGAGACACATATGTATATGTAGGAGAATATCATTGTACAATGAATATAAAAGTACTTTTTGAACTATAAAGCTGTCTTGTTATTATTTCAATTACTCTCATAGAACAGAAAAGAATTAGGAAAAGAATAACAGTTGAGTAAGTGGTCACTGCATTCACACACCTCACTTAAACCGCCTCACATGTTTAACTTAGATGGGAAAGTGCAGCAGAAAATAGACTCAGGGTTGTGAGTTAAGTCATTCACAATGTGATCAAAAGTGATTTGTAGATACCCCTTAAAATGATTTGTTTTCAGATTTTTTTAGGTTGATTGAAAAAACGTTACTCGGGCCCGGCACGGTGGCGCAGTGGTTAAGGTCCTTGCCTTGCATGCCCGGGATCCCATATGGGCGCCGGTTCTAGCCTAGCAGCCCCGCTTCCCTTCCAGCTCCCTGCCTGTGGCCTGGGAAAGCAGTTGAGGACAGCCCAAGGCTTTGGGACCCTGCACCCACGGGGGAGACCCGGAGGAGTCTCCTGGCTTCAGACCTGTATAGCATCATCCGTTGCACTCACTTGGGGAGTGAATCATCGGATGGAAGATCTTCCTCTGTCTCTCCTCTCTGTCTATCCGCCTTTCCAATAAAAAAAAAATAATAAAAATAAATCTTTAAAAAAAAAAAGAAAAACAGTTACTCTTTTTACCTGATCACAATGCAACACAGAAATTTTAAACCACACGGTTTCCTTAAAATGTGACTTGCACCATTTGTAGCTTAAGGCTGGAGAGTTCCCAGAAATGGGTGGTGGGAGGGCAGTGGAGTTTAAAATTGCTCAATTTATAAAATCGTCAAATCAGATCAAATATTTGTTAAAACATATAACTGGTAAATTTTACCTTATAGGAGTTTAAGACAAGCACAAAGAAACCATAATTTAAGGATAAGGCACTTAATATATCTTCCATTGCTTTCTTTTCCAATTCTTCTCCAGCGCAATATCCCAAGACCAATAGTAAGAAAGCATTACCAATTGAAAAATTGCTTTCATTTTCTGTCTTGTTGGGATAGCTTTTCCTGGTACATAAGCTAATCTGAGAAAACCAGATTTCTTTTTTGGTAGCTAGTAGGTAACAAAAGCAGAACAGGCAAAGCTGTTCTTTGGTAGCTCTCAATTTGCAAGTTCTAAACACAGAAACAAATATGCCCCATAACTCCCAGCACTGTATACAGGGTCATTTGCTTTGAAGATTCTGGAATTCACAGACATAACCACTCATCTGAGGGAAGATCAAGATCATTATAAGAATGTTCATTTTGGGGTCCTGCTGTCAGATGTGGAAATTCTTGGTCTGGGAAAATTAGATCCCTACAAGCATAGCAATGGCTTGACGCAATCACTCCTGTTTGGCTTTGTGTGGTGAGTGTTTTTCTAACTCTGTGTTAAGAATAAGCAAGAAAATTGGAATGTAAGCATAAAGTTCTAGTTATCAAATAGCTTATTTGTAGCCAAATACTATAATTTTCACGTGGATATTAAAAATGAATTTGATTCATGTATAACGGTTAAGTTGAAGAATTTGCTTTCCTGAAATATGGGTCTCACCCCAAAAACAGAAAGAAGAGTATTTCAGACAGAAGGCAATTTGTCAGGAAGCTTTTCTAATATAGGTACATCATTGATCACATTCCAACAAAAGCTCCTTGGGTTTCGTTCTGGTTTTTATACTTTCATGACTTCTAACCTGCTGTGGCAATGTTGCACCCTAATTCTATGCATGTTAACATGGAAGTGTGGGTGTTGACTGGAGGCACACATGTGCAGGAGGCCCGGCAGCCGGAAGTGCCCGGGGGAATGTGCAGTTACCTCTCCCGCTCCTGCTCCAGCAGGTTGGTGAAGTCGTCGCTCTTGTTCATGTAGTCGGTGTGCTTGTGCTTCTCGTTCTCCAGCTCGTACACGGTGCGCCTGTGACACTTCTCCGCCAGCAGCAGCTGCTCCAGCATGCGCCGGTAGGTTTCCCTCTGTTTCTCTTCAAGTCTGTCCAGCTAAGTAAGCAAACGTGGGAAAGAGCTCATTTGCTTATGACTCTCAATCATTTGATTGATTACCTGACAGGGAAAAGATTGAGTCTCGTGTTGCCTGACATTTCTCCCACTTCATCATTTTCTTTATGGGAGGTGACCTTATAAACTAGCCATGATAATACTGTAGGGACTTTTCTGTCAATATTTGTATGCTTCCTAAACTTTCAGAAGAAACACTTCCATGGTTTTTATAGACAGCACCGCATCACCGATGCAGAGAGAAAAAGGATAACATCCCTCCGAGAGGCTGACAGCACAGCACGCACATCTCTCAGACCTCTCCTGTGCAGAGCAATTATCATCATCACCATCTTTTCTTCAAGCTTGCAGCTAAATGCATTACAAAAAGCAGATGAAGGATCCAAATCCTCTTTTCGCAAGAGATGCTAAATATAGGAAAGATTTTAGAACTTGTAGAGAGCAGATATCACTAAAAGAGTCTTATCGGTGTAACAGTTTTTTGTTCCTTTTTTTCTGGCTGGACTATGAGATTTTTTCCTCATATCTGTTTTCACTATGTTTATTGTTGAATTGAGCCAAATCTTACAATATTTTGAAGATTTCCTGTCCTGAATGTCTTACTCTCCTTTTCAAACTCTAGTTCAGAATTTCTCAACATCGATACTTCTGAGACCAGATAGCTCTTGTGGGGGGCTGTGCAGTGGAAGACATGTAACAGTACCTTTATTATGCAATATCCTATGCACAGGGAAATGTTTAACAACACTACTCAGCTCTGCTCGCTGGGTGCCAGTAGCACCAACCCCGGTTGTGCTAATCAAACTATCCTGACACATTACCAAATGTCCATTGGAGGGAAACCACCATGCCAACTGAGAATTGTTGCTACAGTTGAAACACATTTAAAAACTCATTCTCAAACCCACAAGAAAATCCTTAAAACCCAATGGTGCATGTTAATATATCTGTATAGCATGATTCTAGATATTTTACCTAAAGCCAAACCTAGTATGTCATGATACCAGAATCTTACCAGAAACTTAATCTTGTAACTGTTACTAAGGGACTGTACTACAGTAATCACTTGGGGAATAATAGCAGAGGTGAGGCAAGGGGAGGGGACAATCCCTATCCTACAAAGCTATATCATGTTAAAAAATAATTTTAAAAATGTAATTATCTAATGAAAGTATAGCTAACTCCCAAAAAGAAAAAAAAGTGGAGCAGTTCTACATACTACCACCATCAGCCTTATCACCTCTTAGTTGTCTAGTTTTCTTTTTGCTGGTTCACTTTACAAATTTCAGATAGCCCCTCATAACATCAACTGAGTTCCTTCCCTTGACTAACACAACAGCTCTTCACAAGTGGCTATATAAAATGCAGACAGGTCTAATCATGAAACATTTGGGAGATTAGGGCAAGATGTTTGAAGCACTCTTTGGTGAGTTTCACAGTGACAGCTATTACAGATGGAGTTGTCCATATTGTTCAGGCCCTCAGAGAACACACCCGTCTTTCAAAGGAAAGATGATACAACAAAATGGACTTAGGTAAGACAAGAGCAGGTAGTGCTAAATGTGGATGTGGTGAGATGAGAAGGGCTACCTTAGTGAGGACTACCAAACTGAAGGCAGGAAAGTAGGTTAAGATTTGTGCTGAACAAGGAATATTGTTTTCAGATTCAGAGCTCTATCATTTTGTGCCTCTCAGTGAGGAAGACCACACAATATGGAATATGAAAGGCATTATTTGAGAAACAAACGTTCAGGTTTTAAAGCACAGGAGGAACAGAAGCAAAAAATTGAAACACTCTGCAATCCATAAAAGCAATAGAGGAATAAGGGGATCACATGAAAACACTAGTTAAGGTGCCAAAACTATAACAGCAACAACAAGAACAACTCCGCTGGGCCTCCCCGTGGTAGGAAATGCTGTGGTAGAACAAATTATGTTTGGACGCAGTGCCATGGCTTAGTGGCTAAATCCTCACCTTGCATGTCCCAGGATCCCATATAGGTGCCAGGACATGTCCTGGCTGCTCCATTTTCCATCCAGCTCTCTGCTTGTGGCCCGGGAAAGTAGAGGATGGCCCAAAGCCTTGGGACTCTGCACCAGCATGGAAGAGCTGTAAGAAGCTCCTGGCTCTAGGGTTTGGATTGGGATAACTCTGGTCATTGTGGCCACTTGGGGAGTGAACTAATGGATGGAAGATTTTTCTCTCTGTCCTTCTCTCCATAAATCTGCCCTTCCAATAAACATAATTTTTTTTATGTGTCTTGAATATCCAGGATGTATAACTGAAGAATTAGAAAGCTCAAATATGAGGAGAGGCTGAGTTTGGAGAAAGGGTAGCTCCTCCTGGGTAAGTTATGATCTCTTCAGCCACTGAGTGTTAGTGGGTTAGAGTTTGCCTGAGATACCAGTTCAAGTCTTGGCTGTTCCACTTCCAATCCAGCTTTCTGCTATTGTATCTGGGAAAACAGCAGAATATGGCTGATGTGTTTTGGTGTTTACGATCTTCATAGCAGACCCGAATGGAGTTTCAGGCTCCTAGATTCAGCTTGAATCAGCCACAACCACTGCAGCCGTTACAACCATTTGGATCTTGGCAGAAGACAGAAGATCTCTCTCTCTCTCTGTTTCTCTCTGTGTGTCTGTCTCCATCTTTTCTTCTATCTTTCTGTAACACTATCTTTCAAATAAAAAAAAAAACTAAATAAATTACATCACTGCCTTTTAAACAAGCAAACAAATAAATACATAAATAGATTTCTTAGATCTGGATCTAAACAAAAAGTAGGGCCAAAGAATACCTAAAATAAGACCTAGGCACTCAGGTCACCATTGCAAACCCCTGACAGTTGTGTCTGAAATACAATTCACTGGCTGGCAGTTTTCCTCTGCCTTTGCAGAGCTGGAGCTGCCAGTGACTGCTTTCTTCCATGAGCTCTAGGATCTGGGGACTTGCACTGGTGGCTGTTAGGAGCAGGCCTAAGATTGCGCACATGTTTCAAACCCAAGGATGGATGGAAGTGGGGCAGACAAAAAGGCCCAGGCTAACATGGTGTGCCTATTGCCCATGCCTGGAGTTTTGCATACACACTTGTGTCCCAGGAGAGTGGAGAGGCAAGATGCCAGACCTGCATGTGTGCCAGAGGACTGGGTTGGCAACCTGTCCATGATCTTGAGTCTCTGGTGAGCAGGCAGAACTCCAGGCCAGCATGCCACCCCACCAGAACACTAGGCTTGGAAAGACTAGTCTGGGGAACCCATGTGCTCCTAGGCACAGGGACTGTGGATTAATCAGGGAAGGGATATGAGGATGTGAGAGAGAGAGAACCTTTGAGGGAGTATGGTGCAGGTGGGGAATGACTTCTGGGGAATTTCTACTGACAATGCCACTGTACCTGCAGGTAAGTGAGGTGGCTGAGACTGAGCAGTTTGGAGGGGGAAGCCAGAGGACCTTTATGGGTCAGACTGATACACCTGCTCAAGTGGGATACTTGAGTTGGGCTACATAGCATCAACCACAACTGACCACTACCCACTGGCACACATTAAAGCTAGGGCTGGGGGCCTGCCTGGCAGGGCTAGATAACAGCACCTACCAGTGAATGTCAGAACAGGTGGTGGGCCATTTTAGGCTAGGCCATTCACACTATCCAGCACACAAGAGAACTAGGTCTGAAGGTAGATTCTGTGGGGACACGTGGGTCTACCCCTGTGGAACTGCAACTTCCACTGGTTTGTTTAAGAGCTGGGAGTGTTGATGAACTGATCTAAGCATAACGATACAACCCTCTGACTCTCATGGGTACTGGCGCTGGGAGCAGGCTGGGCTGGTCCAGGCTGTATCAAATGCAGGTGCATCCAAGAAAAGGGTATGGGAGAATTGGCTTGCAACATCCACCAACTCTTACAAAGGCCAAAACAGGGAGTAGGCTCTGCCAGGTAAGGGCCTAGCACCTGCCAGTATATGTGAGATCTGGGTCTGGGAGTGGGTCTGGTAGAGGAACTTAGAATACTCCCTGGTGGGCCATAGCTCCCACTGGGGAGCATGTGATTTAGGCCTGGGTGTTGGTCAGCCCAGGCAAGGTAGCTCTACTTGTCAGCAAGTGCTTGGGATGGTTCTGAAGTGGGGCAGACTTGGCAGGGTAGGGCTGACCTCAGTTCACTGGCATGTGCAGGAGCCAGGCTTGAGTGTGGGTCATGCTAGGCTATGCTATTATACGAAGCAATTTGCATGAAGAAACAGACTGGACAGGGCGAGGCTGCAGCACCATCCTGAGAGAGTTGGGGGCAGGACAGTTCGGCCAGGCCTGGCCAGGTCAGGTTGCAGCATCTGATGGCAAAGGCCAAGACAGAGAATGGGATATGCCAAGCTGGGTCAGAGCAGTCAGTATCATGCACAAAATCCGTGGCAGGGAACAGGCCAGGCTGGGGAGCTAAAGGGAAGCCCCGACTGTTGTGGTTCCCACTAGTGAGTGTGAGAGCCAGAATGGGGGCTGTGATTTGAGCTGGATACCCTCAGCTTGGGTGTGGAATGGGTCTGGGGAGTGCCAGACTGGGCTGGGCTCCAGGAAACCACTGGTGCTTGTGAAAACCAGGAAGGCTGTAGGATAGACTGAGCTAGGTCTTAGTACCTGCTGAACCATGCGAGAGCTGTATCTGGGTGTGGACGAGGTGTGACTGGGCTTTAGCACCCAACAGTGAGAACTAGAATGGGTTTAGACTGGATGAGCAAGTTCACTGTTCCTGCCGGGACAGGAGGTAGATTAAGAGTCTAGGCCAAGGACCCAAGAGTGAGTGCAAGATCTGCCATAGGTAGAAGACCCAAAAGAAGAGCTTAGGGAACTCCTCTGTCAGGATGTAGTCTTTGCAGGTGAGTGCAAGAACCAAGGCTGGAAGCAGCCTAAACTAGGCCAAGTTACAATACCAGCTGGCATACATGTAGGTCAGGTCTGGAGGTAGGACAGGTTGGGCCAGTCAGTAACACCCACGGACAGATCTAAGAACTAGAATAGGGTGCAGAACAGGCCAGTCTTGGCTGCAATATCAGCCAGTTCACATTAGGGCTGAGACTAGGGGCTGGCTGGGCTGGGCTAGGCTGTAACACCAGGCCAGGCTGTAGTACCCGCCACAAATGCTGAGGTGCGATGGGTCATGCCAGACTCAGTCGCAGCACCCACCAGCACATGTGAGACCTTGGGGACAAGGTGCAAGCCCAGCAGGAAGGCAGCAAGGGTTCTGCTGCTGGGTCCTGCTCTCACTGGGAAATGTAAGAACTGGGATTGGAGACAGACCAGTACGGGCAGGCTACAATATCTATCAGCCTGCATGTGATCTGGGTTAGGGGGGACAGCCAGGCTGGGATAACTAACTCTATCCACTGGTACGTGCATAGGCCAGAGTAAGAGCAGGCTGTTGGGTTTTGCTGCAGCATCAGCTGTCAAGTGCTGGAACTAAGGGCAAAGCCTGTCAAGCTAGACTGCAGAATCACCTGGAGAGTGCAAGATCCAGGACTGGCAATGGGCCCAATAGGGAAACAGTGGGCACTTCTCTGATGGGTTGCAACTTCCACTGCTGAGCATGGGAACCAGGGATGTGAGTGGGCCTGGCTAGACAGGCAGTGGCACCCACTAGCATGAGTGTGGGCTGGACAGTGGGATCTGTTTGGTCGAGCTAGGCTTCAAGGCTCACTGACATGCATGAGAGCTGAATACGGACCACTCTGCTGCACATACTGGGAAGCACAGGAACCAGGACAGGTGGCAGACCTGGTGGGAGTTACTGGGATTCACTCCAACTATGTTGCAGCTCCTGCTGGTATACATGAGGGCAGAATGTGGGGCAGGGTTGGGCTGGACCACAGCATCCATTGGTTTGCATAAGAGACAGGACTGGAGACAAAACTGACTGAGCAATTGCAATGTATATAGGATGATGAGGGTGACAAACACAGCTAGATCCCCAACTGTCAAGCACACACAAGCATCAGGTCTGGGATCACCTCAAACAAGATTTTTTTAGGGATCTCCTCCAAATGAACCACTGGACTCCGAACTCCAGCCATGGGGAGAATCGCAGGCTCTGTGGTCTGACCATGGAGTGCATGTATCAGAACTGGGCCTCCTCAGTGGCTTAGATGGAACAGTGGACACATGCCCAGATGGACATGGAGGATATGATAGCCCAATGGGGTCTGCAGAGGACATCTGGTACCATAGCAAAGGGTGAAGGACAGAGCAAGTTGATCAACTCTCCCAGCCAAACATTGTCAGGAAATCTATGGGCGAATGGATACTCAAAGGTGGACTATGTCAGCCAATGGACATTGGAAGGATGTCCTCATTCTTGGACATGTGAGATTGACAGCATTTCAGAACTATCAAAACCATTTAAGCAGAACCCTTAGAGCATGCTCCACATTGGAGCCCCGGGGATGACATCAGGTGGCCATTCCACAACCCTGCGCTCTGAGGCAGTTGGGAGGCAGGGTGTGGCTTTTCCCCTTTTCTCCTCAGTTCTCCCAGATACAGGAAGAAGAAAAGGAAGACTTGGACAATTGTGTCATCCACTTTCCCGTAATCCTCGACCCTTCCCACCCTAATCAACTATGCAAACAGCATCAAAAATAAAATTTTAAAATACATGAATTCACTGAGAATGAAGACAGAACATGTAAACAAGCTCCTCTATATCCAACCTGGGCCTTGCCATTTTCCTTAACTACAATCCTTTAAATATTTTTTTAAAAATTTCTTGTTTGAGAGGGAGGACACAAGGAAGAGTGAGAGAGAAGGGCAGTCGGAGGCAGGAAGGGAGGTAGGGAGAGGGAGGTAGATGGAGAGAGGCAGGAAAGATAGTAGAGGAGAGAGAAAACAAGCGAACTCCCATCTGCTCGTTTACTCCCCCAAACGCCCAGCCTGGGCTGACTCCAAGCCCACGTAACTTCAGGCCAGGCCCTCCACGTGTGTGGAATGGACTCAAACACTGTCACCAAGAGTTTGGTTTGGTGGGAGCTCGAGACAAATCTAAGTGCTCTGATACATGATGCAGGCATATTTTCTTGTTAACTTAAAGACTTTATTATTTATTTGAAAGGTAGAACAACAGAGACAGACACAGAGAAACAGGGGAAAGAAAGATCCTTCATTCACTGGTTCACTGCTTAAATGGCTGTAGCAGCAAAGCCTGGGCCAGATTGAAGCCAGCAAGGTACCTGGAACTCCATTCTGGGTGGCAGGGCTGTTGCTTCATCAAGCTCATTGGCAGGGAGTTGCACTGAAAGTGAAGCAGCGAGGACCTGAAGCAGTGCCCCAGGATGCTGATGTTGCAGGCAGAGGCTTAGTTCACTATGCCACATGTGGTTCTACTTCCATATGTATTTTTAAAATGAATATGATGCTACAGTTGCATGCATCCAAATATTTTCCTATACTGTCTGGGGCAGGGGGGGATGAGCTTTGTAGGCATTGTTCTGTTATTTTCTGAAACTACTAGAAGAGATCTACACTGTGGTTACTCCTACTTCACAGATAAGGGAATGAGGCTTCAAGAGCTTAAGCAACCTGCCTAAAGTCACACACAGCAAGTAACAGTGGGCATCATACACTTTAATACAACCCTATTGAGCACATCGTTTCAAATCAGCATCTCTCAACATTTTAGCAAAAGAGCTAGAATATAATTGTAATAGAATTGCAGTTTACCTCTGTTGCATAAATCGGAACATTATGAGATCATGAATCTGCTGCAAATGATGTCTAGCAAATTTTGTCTCTGAGACATCAAATTTCTACCACAATGTGAGAGTATTTCCAAAAATATATCACGGGTAATTAATCACAATATCTAGAAGTTTCTAACACCACCTTGTATAATAACACTAAAGCATTAGAATTCCTTTTATATTAGGTTAATGAGACTATCAGAATCCCTTTCAGCCTAAATAATTGGCTTAAGCATTTCAGTCAAATTTTGCTTCAATCATTGCATTTTAGCTACTAATATAAAACAATTTTAATTATGACAGTTTATAAGTCATCAAAAAAGCCTGAAGCTTTATTACCATAAGTATCAATAATTAAGTCAGTTGGTTTTTAGCTGACCAGCCTAATGATTATCCCAAAAACTGAATGCTAAAATTGATCAGTATTTCTAATTTTTGCACACATCATTTACAGAAAAGTAAAAAAGTTATGTATACTGCAGGAGGATGTTATAGTCAGAAACACACAGCAAAATATATTTTGGGATTTAAGTACATTTAAAGGAAAGCTCAATATTTTCACTACAATTATCTACTATAAGCCTTAAATTATTTAATATTACTTTAATTTTGTACTAGTATATAAAAAAATTGTCTTTGAAAGCAAATGTTCATGCACATAATCAGGAGACTGTTTCCCGCAGGGAGGACTGTCGGAGCAGTCTTTACCTCTGAGATGGGTTTCTCATACACATCTTCTCCTATGGACTTCTCTTGGGCCAGGATGGCATCTCGGTGCAGGACTCGCAGCACTTTCTCTGGCTCCGCAGATCCGTAATGAGCCTCCAGCGCCTCAGGCTTGGTTTTCTCTGTCTTCAGCATGTGGATCACATCCTCTCTGGCCTGAGGTAGGAGGTACAGCAAAATCAGATGACTGACAGTGTAAATCAGATCCTGAGCTCACAAAATCAACACCGACCTTATTGAACACACCCCACCTCTTCAGGGCTATCTGCAAATGCACTGCATATTCCTTTTTTTTTTTTTTTTTTTTTTTTTTTTTTACGAAAAGCAGATTGGCAACCAGACATTCTGTTTCAGGTTGCTAGGAAGCAGGCAAGCAGAAAAGGAGTTTGTGCTAATATTAACCACACACAAAATGCTTTATCTAAGTGGCAATGGGCTGGAATGGGGATGTGGAGGTTTGACGGAGCCAGTCCTGGAGTGTATAACTTATTTCCAAACACATGAGATCAATGATTATCTAAAATTCTCTAGGTTTTTATTTATTCTGTCATGGTAGCATTCAAATCAGATTTAAAATTAACCCCTCCTGCTTCCATTCCATAACTTCATGTGAATTATAGTTGGTGATTTCCTGTTTATCCAATGATTTAGCTTATACAGACACACATAGTTGGGGACCCATATGAGGCTGCACTGAGATTTTTAAATCTAATGTATTAATACTGTAGGTGAAATTTTATCCCTTTAATATCCAGACTGCCACAGATGAGTCATATTGGTAGGGTTATGGATTTTTTTTTATTTGCTTGTTTCTTAGTGCAACATTAACATCTTCCTAAAGTTATTTGGAAAACCACATGATTATAGGTTTGTTATCATAATGCAATGTAAAATACAAAATGTAAACATCTGGATGTGTTTTGAGCAGGTTAGCAATGGTGGTCTTTCTAATCATGGAGTTGACATTTGGTAAATGTACTCCCATATGGGCATACACTTGGAGCTTTTTTTCCAGTAACAGTGATAGGTAAGAAGCATCTTGACTTCATTCCAATTCTTACTAAAGAACAGACTGGTTGGGAGCAGAGTTTCATTCTGTCATAATGGAATATAATTTTCTTCTGTATTAATGCAGCGAAATTTGCTTTTTCTCTTTGTTAATATTTAATTCACTTCCAAAATGCATTAATATAAAAGGAAGATTTTATATAGTTCACAGATAAAATCATAAGAAGATAATCATATTTTTTCCACTCCCTCAACCCTTCCTCTTTTGTTACTTTAATTTTTGCAATAACATTTTTTCAATTTACTTTATAATTACATGTTTAATGCATCACTAGCCACAATGTTCAATAAGTAAAATGCAGAAATATCATTGTTACACAGCAATATACACCAGAACAATAAACAATACTCATATAATAGGTAGTGAGTTACATTTTTACACATTGGGGTTTTTGGTATTCTATATTAACTTCCACATATCACAGAAAACATGTTGTTTATATTTTTGTAGCTGTCTTATTTCTTTTTAAAAATTTTTTGAAAAGATTTATTTATTTTTATTGGAAAGGCAGATTTGCAGAGAGGAGAAACAGAAAGATCTTCTATCTTCTGGTTCACTCCCCAAGTGGCCACAATGGCCAAAGCTGAGCCAATCTGAAGTCAGGAACCAGCAGCTTCTTCCAGGTCTCCCACATGAGTGCAGGGGCCCAAGGGTTTGGATGATCCTCTACTGTTTTCCCAGACCATAAGCAGGGAGTTGGATGGGAAGCAGAGCAGCCAGGACACAAACTGGCACCCATATGGCATCCCAGAGTGTGCAAGGCAAGGATTTAGCCACTGAGCCATCACACCAGGCCCAAGAGCTCTCTTATTTCATTAAGCATAGTCTCCCATTGCAAAAGACAGGATTTCATTTTATAAAAATGGCTATTATTCTGTCATGTGTATATATCATATTTTATCCAGTCATCAATCAATGAGCAAGTGGGCTGATCGCTACTATGAATTGAGCTGCTAATAAACATAGGAGTACAAATAATTTTTGAATATATTTATCTCGTTTTCTTTGGAGAAATTTTCAGGGATGGGAAGGCTGGATCATATGGTTGATCTATTTTCAAATTTCTGAGTGATCACCATAGTATCTTTCACAATGGTTATACTAATCAACATTCTCACCAATAGTGTTTTAGGTGCTTTTTCTCTACATCCTCACCAGCATTTGTTATTTTTCAGTTTTTGGGTAATAGCCATACTAACTTGGTGAGGTAAAACCTCATTGTTGGGCCCAGCATAGTAGCCTAGTGGCTAAACTCTTCAGCATGCACATGCCAGGATCCCATATGGGCACCAGTTCTAATCCTGGAAGCCCCACTTCCCATCTAGCTTTCTGCTTGTGGCCTGGGAAAGCAGTCAAGGACAGCCCAAGTTCTCGGGACCCTGCACCCACGTGGGGGACCTGGAAGAGCCTCTAGGTTTCTCGTTTCAGAGTGGTGCAGTTCCAACCTTTTGGGGAGTCAATCAACGATGGAAGGTCTTCCTCTCTGTCTCTCCTCTTCTCTGTATATCTGACTTCCTAATAAAAACAAATAAACCTTTAAAAAAAACCCTCGTTATTTTAATTTGCATTTTTCTGGTGACATTTTTTGATCCTGAGGATTTTTAAAATTTTATTAATTTAAAATTTTTTCCTGATCATTATTTTTATTTTTGATGATTTTTACATACTTGGTTAGGGTGATAAGGGTCAAGTGTCTCAGGAATGTAAGATCATTATTTCCGCATTCTCTTTTTTTTTTCTTCCTATATCTGGGGAACGAGGGATCTAAGGGGAGAGGCCATACCTAGAATCCCAAATGCCTCCGTACCCTGGGATGGAGGACAGCCATCTGCCACCACTCCATGGTCCCTGATGTGGGACATGCTCTGAGGGTCCTGCTCAAATGGTTTTGATAGTTCAACAGTTCTGAATTACTGCCAATCTCGCACTCAAAGCACGATGGAATCTTTCCAGAATCCACTGGTTGACACAGTCCACCTTAGAATTTCCGTTTGCCCAGATTTTCACTGCCAACACTTGGCTAGGAATGTTGATCAATTTGTTCTGTCCTCCATCCTCTGTTACAGTACCAGGTGTCCTTTGCTGGCTCCAATGTACTGCGATATCCTCCATGTGCACCTGGATATGCTGCTCACTGCTCCATCTAAGTCACTGAGGAGGCCCAGTTCTGATACATGCACTCCATGGTCAGACCATGAAATCTGCAAACCGTCAAACCTCTCCATGGTTGGAGTTCTGAGTCCAGCAATTCAGCAGGTGGGGATGGGGGAATCCCCAAGGAAACCTCATCTAATGCGATTCCAGACTTTATTCTTTTTTTTTAAGATTTATTTATTTATTGGAAAGTCAGATATACAGAAAGGAGAAGAGACAGAGAGGAAGATCTTCCATCCGATGATTCACTCCCCAAGTGAGCTGCAACGGCCGATGCTATGCCGGTCCGAAGCCAGGAGCCTCTTCCGGGTCTCCCACACAGGTGCAGGGTCCCAAAGCTTTGGGCTGTCCTCTGCTGCTTTCCCGGGCCACAGGCAGGGACCTGGATGGGAAGCGGGGCTGCTGGGATAGAACCGGTGCCCATATGGGATCCCGGGTGTGCAAGGCGAGGACCTTAACCACTTGCGCCACAGCGCCGAGCCCCAGACTTTATTCTTATATGTGCTTGACAATACAGGGTCCATCACAGTCTGTCACCTCAGTCAGCTTATGCATATGCCAGTGGTCACAATTGCTGGGTCATTTGTCTCCAGCCCCATTTCTTATACAAACCAATGGATGTTGTGGCCCAGCCTGATCCTGCCTACCACACATTCGACCCTCACACAAACCAATGGGATCTGTAGCCTAATCAGAATGACCCACAATAACCCCCACTAGACCTGCCCCCCCCCCCGCCCTGGTTCCTATGTTTGCCAATATGTACAGCAGAGTGGTTCAGTCTGTGCCACATCCAATTCAGCTCTCATATATTGCAATGGGCACTGAAGCCTAGTTCAACCCAGTCCACCCCATTATCAAGCCCAAACACATGTGGATGGGTACCCCAGTCCTGGTACACATGCTCACCAGTTGGAGTGGCAACCCAAGAAGGAGGTGCCCACTGTTTCCCTACTGGACCCACTCCCACTCCTGGATCTTGCACTCTCCAAGTGATTATATAGTTTAACTTGACAGAATGTGTGCCCCCTTGCTAGCATCTGCCAGCTGATGCTGTGGCAAAGCACCCACGCACACTCTGGCTCATGCGTGCACCAGTAGGAACAGTTAACCCAGTCTAGTTTTCTCCTGATCTAGCTCACATGAGGCCCACAGGTATTGTAGCCCTGCCTGGCCTGGTCTGCTCCCATCCCAGCTTTCACGCTCACCAATGGGAGTGGTGGTCCAGCAGGGGAGCCTGACACAGCCCCCCTACTGGGCTTACCCCTCTCCCCCTTGGCTCTCAGGTGTCGTTGTTGGATGCTGCAGCCCAGTCTGACATGGTCTGCCTCACCTTGCCATGTGCTTGTGGGTGTTGTAGCCTGGCTGGTCCTGGCCCACCCCCAATTCCAGCTTATGTTGGTAGCAGTTACAGCCTAGTCCAGTGCAGCCAGCCCCTACTCCCAGCCCTCATGTGAATTGGCTTGTGTTGTGGTCCAACCTGGCCTGACCCATACTCCATTCTGGTGCTTGGATTAAACAGTGTGTGATTGAACTGGCCCAGCCTGGTTTCCCTCCGACTGTGGGTACCATTCCCTGGCCTGGTCTGGGCTGCTCCCTATCATGATTCCTGCGCTCACTTGCAGGGACTGTGTACCAACAGAGGAGTTCCCCAAGTTCCTCTATCAAACTTCTTCCAAAGTCAGATCTCAAGCACATTGGTGGGTCTGTGGATCAACCCTACTTAGTCTACCTCCTTTCTTAGCAGGAATAGTGGCCTTCCCTGACCAGCCTTCACCCCTTCAGGGTTTTATCATTGGGTTTTACAGCCCAGCCAAGCCTGGTCCCCACCCAGGCATACACATGGTTCAGCAGGGGCAGAACTTAGCCCAGCCCATCCTACACCTACTCTGGTTCTCATAAGCACCAGTGGGTGCTGGCGTCTAGCCCAGAC